GTGTTGTGTAAGTTTCCCTTGAGGATCAGGACTGAGAGATTGGAGAGAGAGTGGCCCTCCTGTGAGAAATGTGCCCACATCTCCACCACCTCCACTATTACTACACCCCACAACAGAGCCATCAGCATCCCAGGATCTTACAGCTGCACCTCCAGGAATGTAGTATACCTCATCCAATGCACCAAATGCCCTGATGGAAGATATGTAGGAGAGACCAGACGACAACTGCGCACCAGAATGAATGCACACCGGAAATCTATCAAAGACAGAAACCCTCAATTACCGGTGGGGTCACATTTCTCACAGGAGGGCCACTCTCTCTCCAATCTCTCAGTCCTGATCCTCAAGGGAAACTTACACAACACTTCCCAGAGACGAGCCTATGAGCTCCATTTCATCAACCTGCTGGATACTAGAGATCAGGGACTAAACATAGACATTGGATTTTTGATACATTATATAATCTGCCTGGCAACTGACTCCCCCGCCCAGCCCCTGGCTTCTTTACTTTTCATTCCATCCAGGAAGAGCGCACACCAACTGCTGCAGCTTCCTGAGCCTGACGAAGGGTTTCTGAACTTGAAAGCTTGCTTAATAACTATTCTCCAACTATTTGGGTTGGTCTAATAAAAGATATCAAATTCACCCAAGGAACCTGGTCTGCCTCATCCCTGGTGCATCACTCATAGTTTTTGGTGCATCATCCCCAGAGTTGCTTACAAAGATGCATTCCTCCTCAGATGTTGGCTTTACAGGAAGGATGTCAAACCAATCTGGCCCAGCTGCAGTAGTACAGTGTAGCCTGTCATTCTCCAGTCTCTTGTTCATGCGTGCAATTATTCTGTTCCAAGTGTGAGACTTTGCACTTGTCCTTATTTAATTTCATTTGGTTGACTGCAGACCATTTCTCCAGCCTATCCAAGAGATTCTTGATTCTTGCCAGATCCAGTGTGTCTGCAACTCCACCCAACTTGGTGTCATCTGCACATTTTCTAAGCATGCACTCAGTCCCTAATCCTTCATGAAGATATTAAATAATACTAGACCCAAGACAAACCCCTGGGGAACCCCACCTGATACCTCCTTCCAAGTAGGCACTGAGCCACTGATGGCTATTCACATGAGTAAAGTGGTATGCCTGTGTTAGATATCAAAGGAAGCAACTTGAATTAATCCACTGACATTTGTCAAACAGTGTATTATGACTGTAGCAGCTGGGCATTATGCCAGGCCTAATGAAGGGAGTCTTACAGTCCCAGTTCAACTGATGCAGCTGAAACTTCTTATCCCATCATCCTGAGACAGTACTGCAGAAACTGCAGTGGCAGCCTGCTGAAACCTAGTGTGAAGATCCAGGGGCCTGTGCCCTCCAGGAAGAGCTGGGGAAGTGATCACAGAGCTGGAGGAAGCCATCAGAGAGCTGGGGAATGAAACAGAGGGCTGGGGGAATGTTCAGTTGCTTGCCAGTTGTACAGTGGTGTGTACACACACACACATGCATGCGCTAAGAAGAAAGAGCAATATTGTACTATGAAGATCTAACCCATTATCTATCTTCTTTATAATACTTTCATCTACTCTGTATGGCCATGACTTATTAATGAACATAACACATGAGGACTCCAAAGAGGCAGGAGAAGGAAGGAATAGAGTATGAACTGAAACCATGTTCTCAAAGAACCACAGTTACTGAAGAGCAAGTAATTGCTCTTTCTTCTTTTGAGAGAGCTAGAGAGAGAATACCACTGTGTACAACTGGCAAGCAGTACTGTTTCAGGATGATGGGATAAGAGCTACTGAGTTAGCCTTTTCAAACACTGGTAACTTGGCGGTAGCTTTTGGCTTTACAGTCAAAAGCTGCTGCCTATTTGGCAATGATTATAAGAGGGTTAAAACCAACTTTTGCTGATGCTCCAGAGTTGTACTCTGTCTCTCTGATCATGTCTCAGCCATAACTCTGGAATTTTTATTTTTTATGATGCCTTCCCAAAACAATGTATGTATGCTATTTGTGGCATGGGGTATGCAGGAAAATACTCCTGAGACAGATAAAGCTTAGGTAGGTAATAGCAGTTCCAGACGCATCCAAATAATTAGAGTCAGGTTTGATTCTACCCTGAACACTAATGACTACATCAACAGGAATCCATTTTGGGGAGGCAGACTCCAACCTAGAGCTGGAAGAGTTCATAAAAGCCTTTATTATCCATACAGAGTAAGAGATAACTTAATATAGCTCGCTACAAAACCTAGCTGAGGGAAATGAGTGCGAGACTAAATTCCAGTTTGCTGCTGAAATCTGTCCTTGATCAGTCAAATCTGGGTAATGATAGATGCAAATGCCCTTCCTTCTGAGGCAAGCAAATAACTAACAGTGGTGTTTTTTAGGGAACTTTTGCTTACGAAAAAGTGCTGACCTTGTGCTTTGGAGGCAATTTTGTCTCAAAGATAAGCAAAATGTCATTAGTTATTATGAACTACATCAAACTTTTTTCATCCTTCTTGCCTAAAGATTTCTATCGCTTGCTGACAAAGGCATAACAAAAGCTACTGGACAGAAATTGAAGTTAAGGAATTCGCTTGA